CCCCGTTCCTTCCCCTGCGCGGCGGGTCCCTGCCGGCAGCACCGCCTCGGGGTGTCCCTGGGCCTGGGGTCTTCCTTTAGGAGCAAAAAAGCCCCCTTTCTTTCTTTCTTTCTTTTTAATTTATTTTGGCCCCCCCCCCCTTCGTTTTTTGAGTATCAAAAGGGCAGGGAGGCCCCTGTCCTTCCCCCTCACCCTCCGTCCAGACACAGCCCTGTCGGCAGCACCGCTTCGGAGGTGGTCACCGAGCCTGCGGCCTTCATCCAGAGGCCAAAAAAGATCCCTCTTCCTCTCATTTTTCCGTGACAAGACCTAAACTTGTTTGAGGTGTTGGGTTTTTTATTTTTCTGAGCCGTTCAAGCGCCGTACTTCAGCGTGGGGAGCATTAACTCAGCCCCTGGACGTGGGGAAGACGCTCAGGGCTCCTCTCCCTGTCACATTTCTGGGGGTAAAACAAGCCCTCGGCGAGAGGGACTCGTCCCGGGGCAGCTTGTGTCAGCCGGGACTGCGCTTGGCTCCAGTTTGCGCCCTGCAATGTAGAATTTTCTCCCGTTTGCCGTCAGCAGAGCTATTAGGGAGCGGAGACGCAGGGAGAGAAAACAAACCCCTTCTCCGTGTCGCCGTTACAGCTTAGAAAAAGTTGTATTTGTCTTAAAACTCTTGAAATCAAGTTCATCTCGTCTGCCTTTGAGCACGGGTTTTTGCTGGGGCCTGTGCAATAGTTTTAGCCGGCGGCAAATCCGGAAGCCTTGATGAAAGCTCAGGTTTTCCTGGCCAGTAGTAAAACGTAGGTAGGGTAGCCTTTGAATGACCTCTGATTTTGTGTTTTTCCTCACTTGTAGTTGAGCAGTTTACACCTGAAGGAGGAAAAAACCAAACCAGATGCCAATGGTGAGTTACAGCCGCTCAGATGGTCTTAGAAAGGGCGTAATGTTTTTCCGTTGGGTTTGGAGCGCTGCTGCCAAAGTAAATTCCCGATTAGTCAAGAAATTCCACAAAAGGGAAACATAAAGCTAAGATTAAACAGCAGCGTAGACTAAATATCTGGCTCGCGTGCTTGTTCTGCTGGGCTAACTTTTTCAAACCATGTTTTGCTGTATTCGAGGAGCTGTGTGGGCAAAATCTGTTGGTACGGTTGATAAAGTTCAATTTGGCCGTACAGAGCAAGCCATAACCTGGGTTTCTTCTGCGCACTGAGAGCGCAGGGCTGTTCTCGTCAGGAAAACGGGCTGTTTCGTAGCTTTTCCCACAATATTCAAAACCTAAAAGTCTGCGGGTGTGGGCTGCCTGACCTCACGTCTGCCCCAAAACCGCCTGTTTTAATTTAGGTGCTGTTGTCAAGGCAGATGACAACGTAGAGAAGACGGAGGATGAGGAGAAGGGTAAGTGCCTTCTTGAAAAATGCTCTGGCGAGGAATGTTGAAACGAAATCAATTTTGTATATACTTAAAGTAAGTCTGCCTTATGTCTCAGGATGGATGATCTTGTATCCTGCCCCAAGGACTTAATTGTAAGACATGTCCTTCCTCCATAATACTTTTAAAGCCATTGGGTCCTGTAATAACTTGGGAGACTCCTGGATTAGAGTGGAGAGAAATAAGGGGATAGCAGTATCCTCAGAGGCAGGACTGGATACAGGAGCAGTTGGATAACCTGGAGCTGGAGTTGCTGTAGCAACCAACATGTTGCCTTTATGAAATGGCTGTTAAGAGGTGGGTAACGGCTCTAAATCCTTCAGAAGGTGGCTTAAGAGAAACGTGCTTTAGAAAGCAGATTTATTAGCAAAACCCCAAAGTGCAGCAGTTTAGCCTTCTGTTTTGATCTCGCCTATTGTCAGCCCTTGCTGCATTTCAGCCCTGGAATCTTTCAAAGTACCGTTTGTCCTCAAACTTCCTTTAAAAAGAAAAAAACCTCACCTAAAAGGTGTCTGCCCCCATGTCAGGTAATGGTAAGGCTTTAAGAGGCTTTTAACCCTGTCCCGCCTTCCAGTTAGATGCTAAGCTATAATATCTTAAATTAGCAGAGTTCTAAAAAAAGCTCTAAAAAAGCTTCTGAAAAACTCTAAAAAGGCAGAGTTCTGCGTCTGTTAAGGTCCCCCTTAAAACAGCGCTCGCTTTAGTTTGCCTTCCTAAATACTAAATGTGACCCTCCGGGATATCCTGATGGATGTCTCCCTCAGGAAGTTTGGGCTCTTTTATGACACTGCTCTGTAATAGAAGAATTTCAGTGTTTGGATGCATCCTGTCCTTTTCAAGTGGCTCAGTAGTGCAGCGTTTCAGTGGGAGCGACACCTGAAACAGGCTATGATGTATTTTTATTTATTTTTTTTCCTACCCCCTTTTTCAACAGAGGACAGAGCTGCCCAGTCCTTGTTGAACAAGCTAATCCGCAGTAACTTGGTTGACACAACGAATCAAGTGGAGGTGCTGCAGAGGGATCCCACATCGCCTCTCTACTCCGTGAAGTCCTTTGAGGAACTGCGACTGTGAGTCCTGTTAGATTTCCTGTCTGCGTAGGAGATATCGCTTAAAAGCGCATGGGTTTCTGTTTCAGGTTACTGCAAATTTGTCACTAATAAATTAGCATATCTGTATTATTTAAATGCAAGGAGAATTATTTTATCTTGGTGCCTTGTGAAGGCTTCCATCTGAAACGAGCTCAATTTAAGTCCCGGTCGGTGTGGAGCTAGCATGGCTTTCTATAATCAGCTCTAGCAACACTGTTCTGATTTTTAATGTATGGGTTTCGGTCTTCAAACGCACAGTGGAGCTTGCGTATGATAAGCTGGATGAGGCGAAGAGAGGAGGGAGGGCTGTCCTTCCACGGCCACTGTCACCAGGGTTGTGTGAATTGCAAAGTGAGACCTTCTCTGTGTCGGAGGCATCGTTATTTTGCCACCGGTTCTCCAGCCAGTGCAGGGAGGCTCGGAGCAGGCGTTCCAGCAGCACGGCAGTGTTTTGGAAAACACAAGATTTGTTTTACTGGCAGAAGTAACGAACACAACCACCTTCTGTTCCTGGTCTCTGGCGGTTATTTGTGAAGGTCCAGCAGCAGCAGTGAACAATACAAAGGGAAAAGCTTATCTTTTCTCTGCCAGCAATATTGGATTTATGTACTGGAGAGACTACTAGCGTTAGTATTTTCTGACCCTTCCTATTGAATACCTTTACCAGTGGAGCTTTCAAGCGACGATAGCGGTATTTAAGGCATGATAGATTTCTATCTTTTTTTAATGTGCTAAAGAGGCTGTCCTGTTGGGATTGTTGTTGGTTATATTGATGACCTCGGTTTTGTTGCTCTTTTGCGAGCTCCACGGGGAAATCGGAGCCGATGAGACTTCTCACCGTGAAATGTCAGGGTGTCGTTTCACTTTGTTAATGTTAGTGGTTGAATGTCTACAAGAAAAGCTGAGGTCCTGTAGTGCCTGTTAGACTAATTCCCATCTTTCAATAGCCGAACAATCCAAGTGAGTTAATGATGGGGGCAGCCAGACTAATTGAGTCTTCATTTTGTTATGGCTTGGTGTATCCTTGGCAACTGTTGCAGAGTTGGGCTTTGTACGTCCTTGCTTCTGAGCAGCACAAGGTTACGTTTTCAAAGAGCTTTTGTTCCAGCCGTCGTCTGAAAGTAATACACGATTTTTAAAAAGCATGTCGTGCTGAATAGGAAGCTCTTAACAGTGGGAAATGGTGGGCAGGAAACCTGTATCCTGCTTTGAAGGAAAAGCCCTTACTTCTGAGCACCACTAACAGCACTCCAGTAAGCGCTTGGAGGTCATCGGCTGAGAGTTCGCTAGCACCATAACCTGCATTTTAGGTTGTTCTTGGATCTCCTTGTCTACACAAGTGTCTGCCGAGACCAGAAAGCTCCCTTGAGAGAAAGCAGCTGATGAGCATTTGATGACTAGCGGTGTCACCACACTGAGTGGTGACACCGGGTGGTTTGAGTGCTGGGTTATAACCACGGATCACTAGGTGTAGTCACGGTGAACTACGTTTATCAGTCATTGACCAGTTTTGTGCACTAAGCCGGTATCGCTCTGGTGTTAAGGTGTCAGTTGGTATTACAGAATCCATCACGACTTACTGAAGTCCTTGCAATGATTTCATGACATTACACTTCATTCTGTTCCTCATGTGCTGAGGTTGCTTTGTCCTGTCTTTGAGGCTTCAAGGAGTGATAATTTTGGCGCCACGATTAGGCATCGCTGAGGAAAAGGGATTGGCCTAAAGGACAGGATTAGTGCTCTCTGCTCTGGGATTCCCGGGATTGTCTGAAAAGCTGCTTTAGAACAAGAAGCCCAGCGCGAGCCTTAGAGCTGTGGCACAAGGTTTTCCATGTAGCTGTGAAAGGCAGGCGTGCAGGCTGACTTACTAAATCGAGGGGTTTTTGCAAAGCTTCCTTTCCAGACTCTCTGCTGTCACTTGTTGTAGCTCTCAAGCACTGATCATAGTCACTTCGCTGGTGCGATTATAGCGGGTACACAGAAAGGGCAGCTCTAGGTCTGGTTGCAAGGTTTTTTCTCACCTTTTTGTACACAAATGAAAACCAAATGTACTTTAATAGGTCACGGTATAAAAACTCCTCTGTTTTCAGGAAACCACAGCTCCTGCAAGGAGTCTATGCCATGGGCTTCAACAGACCATCTAAGATACAAGAGAATGCCCTGCCCATGATGCTTGCTGAACCATGTACACATACTTTCTACTCCCTTCCAGTATAGGAAGGATTTGAGAGGTTTAGTGTACTATTACCGAACTTTGGATGGGAGGATGGTGATGGGGAAGCTGTCCGGGCTGTGGTGAAAGGGTTCCCATGCCACGGTGTTTCTGTGGGCACGAACTATGGGACAGCAGCCCTGGATTTGTCCTTTTCCTAGGGCTGGTACTGAACACGCAGTGCCGCGGTGTTCGGCCAAGGTCAATCCGATTTTCCTGGTCGGTGTAGGGGAGAAATAATAAGGCTGCTATGGAATGTAGCTCCAGAAATCCTGGGAGGGTGGGAGTAGTTGAGATCCTGCGTGGCTGGTTTTCCTCTCCGTGCCCCTGAGCTGTAATGTGTGAAGTGTTAAGACACTAGGGGGAGATGTGCGAAATGGAAAAGTACTGACAGATAATCGCAGTTTTCCTTCCAAATCTCCGTAATCAAGAGGTCACTTGTGCTGACAGAGAGCGTTGGTAGAGGGCAGAAACTAACTTCTGCCCTGTGGAGAGTAGCTGGTCAAGCTGGGCATCAGTCCAGAGCAGTGGTGAATCTAAAAGGTATTAAAATGCCACTCGCCGCGTTTTCTTTATCGTTCAACCCCATGAGTACGTCATTCGGGTGGTTCATCTGGTTGACCTCATGTCTGCTCTATGTTCCGCAGCCCACAGAACTTGATCGCACAATCTCAGTCCGGTACTGGTAAGACGGCTGCCTTTGTCCTGGCCATGCTCAGTCGTGTTGAACCTGGGAACAAGTATCCACAGGTAAAGTTTCTGGGACGTGGCTGTTTCGGAGGGTTTCGTGGTGGTGCAGTGCCACCTAGTGAAGAGGTTGGGCTTCTGTTGAGACTTTCGATAGGAAATCCGTAGTTCGATGAACCCACCTCTGTGATGCCGTTTATGTAAACTGCTTAGCAGGGACTGCTGATTCGGGGATCTACCAAAATGCCTTTAATGCAAAAGACGTGGATTTTACTAACAACTTGTTCCTTTCGGTCCCTCCTTTGCATCGCTCAGGATGCGATTGCTCTGTGAGGAGTTAAATCAGGGGGATATCATTCTGCGAGAAATTAAATCGGAGAAATATTGCAGGCTGAAGGGGGTTAAGTAAGTGGAATTTGGGATGGAAGAGACCTGTGACAATAGAGCAGACAATGCCCAGAAAAGGGCTTTTTAAACCAAATTTCCTTATGAGATAGTTGAGCGGTTTTACCAAGGCTAGAGTTCTTTCCTTAAAAAATGCTGTTCTAATCTCTTAGTCTAACTGTAGGTGTTAGGTTCCTCGTCACTACTGTCCATATACGTCCCCCAGCAGAGTATCTGCAATCTCAATTCTGAGGAGCAGAATTAAACCCAGAAAGCCAGTGGCTAGGTGACTGTATCATATCAACTCATTCCCCCAGTTTCAGGATGTAGAACTGATGGCTTTCAGAAACTCTTCGGCTGCTCGCATGGCTGTCCCTGGGAAAACTTCAATAATAAGGATTTTAAAAAGCAAGTGTGATAGTGTTGCCCAGGGTGTTGGTCATCTCAAACGCGTTATCCTTCTGTCCCTCCAGTGTTTGTGCCTTTCCCCAACATACGAGCTGGCACTTCAAACAGGAAAAGTGATTGAACAGATGGGAAAGTTTTATCCGGAGCTGAAACTTGCATACGCTGTCCGAGGCAATAAATGTGAGTAAGGCGAAACGCTACCAACAGACTGTAAATGATGTTCCTCGGGTGCAATACAGTAAACGAACAATAGAGCAGTCAGATGGTGAAATAGGCTAGTTCAGAGAGGGGCAGGGCATTTCACTGTCTGCGCAGCCATCTTACGAAGGCCTTCCTTTCTGTCTCGGCAGTGGAGAGAGGTCAGAAGATCTCTGAGCAGATTGTAATCGGCACACCCGGCACTGTGCTGGACTGGTGTTCCAAGCTGAAATTCATAGATCCCAAGAAAATCAAAGTGTTCGTCTTGGATGAGGCTGACGTGATGATAGCAACCCAGGGCCATCAGGACCAGAGCATCCGCATTCAGAGGTAAGGTACTCGGCGTACGTTGCCCGAGGTGATTTTTGTTTCTTTCGATTATAGCCATATTGTAACGTAGGGACAGCAGGGCTAGATTCTTGACCGGTGTCTTCACCGATAAAGCAACAAGATTAAAATGATATATTTAGCTCTAATCCAGATGGTTAATAGAGGCAGAATGTCAGGGGATGACAAGCAGTTTCATTTTCTTACAGAATAAAAAGCCTGTCCCTGGAGCAGGGTTTATTCATTTTTAAGAATGCAAGTCTGGATGCCACTGGTCCATGAGGGAACGATCAGGTGTTGGTAAGATTAGCATTAGTCTTTCCAGCCACTGAAATAACTGGTTCTGAGGTTATTGTTCTGCTTTGCCCGTAGCATTAATCCCATCAGGATATCAGGGGGGCGACGGCGTTGCGTGGGAACCCTGCCCATTTTGCTCTCTCTTGCAGAATGCTCCCCAGGGACTGCCAGATGCTTCTGTTTTCAGCCACTTTTGAGGATTCTGTGTGGAAGTTCGCTCAAAAAGTTGTTCCTGACCCAAACATTATCAAACTGAAGCGAGAGGAGGAGACGCTGGACACTATTAAGCAGTATTACGTTCTGTGCAATAACAGAGATGAGAAGTTCCAGGCTCTCTGTAATATCTACGGCGCTATCACCATTGCCCAGGCCATGATCTTCTGCCATGTGAGTCCTTTCGGGGAACGTCAGTCCCAACGACCCCGTTAGTGTCTGCTATTGCTACAAACCTGGCCAGGCATGCTTTTCAGAAAGAAACGGAGAACGTGAATTGCCCTTTTCTTTGGCTTTTCTGGCTCCCTCTTTGAGTGAACTCTTGAGAGCCATGATAGCACTAGCTGGTTTATTTCTCTGGGTTTGTCCATCCAGGTCATTTTTATTCTTGAAGTCCTCTGAAGCAAAGATCAGACTAATGCACAGTTCTCCAAAACAAAGTATTACTCAGAACTACTAAAAAAACCCAAACCCCTGAGGCTGGAAAATGGATAAAAATAGGGCAGAATGAGGGATGGGGAAGCTTTGTAGTTCTGCGGCCAATACGTAGCTTTTCCTGGGACTCCGTTTCCCTCAGGTAACTGGTGATATACCTCTGGGGTCTCCCTGTGAATCATACTGAGACTTCTTTTTTTCTGGAAGCCACCAAAACTCGTAGGAAAAAAACAGTGCTGACAGCACCAGAACAGCCACGTAAAGCTAGCTCAGACAAGATAAAACCCGTATTTGGAGTCTGCTGCAGCAGTCTGCTTTTATGCTGTTTCGAGTGGTAATAATATCAGACATAATCGGAGCTTGAAAAATCAACGTAATTGGAAACTGTTTAATTCAAGACTGCGTAGAGCCTCTGTTGGATTTCACAACTACATACAGCTCAAACCCTGACATTTTCCAAGCTGAGTAGTTTTGTTTACTTGACACTGCTTGTGAGTTTTTACCATATGTATGTAATCCCTCACAGAGTGAAAGCTGAGGAGCAGAGCACAAAGAGAACGCGTACTTTGCTTAAACAAGGGCTCCTGCGGTGGCAGATGCACATTTTCCTATTTCTGATATGAGAGCTGGGAGCACAGTTTGTCCTGGGGAGGGGGGTGGGCACAGCACTTAGGAGCTGTTTCCTTTTGAGATATAAAAACTGAGCAGCCGCGGAGCTTCCAGTCGACCCCAGAGAGGTTTGTTCCTGCTTTACAGCATTAAAACTTCCTCCCCAAGACGGGCCTCGCTTTGTGTTTCAGACTCGGAAGACGGCCGGCTGGCTGGCGGCGGAGCTCTCGAAGGAAGGCCATCAGGTGGCATTGCTCAGTGGGGAAATGATGGTGGAACAGAGAGCCGCGGTGATAGAGCGTTTCCGCGAGGGCAAAGAAAAGGTGCTGGTGACCACAAACGTCTGTGCCAGAGGTAGGGCATGGCAGAGCTGGGCCAGGGAGGGGCAGAAGCAGCAGGTCCTAAGATAACATGCTGCTGGCCAGCTTGCAGAAAGAATTCATATCCTCAGGTGTTCCAGTCTGGCGAGATTAGGGTCCTTAAAGTAATTCCTGGACTTTTTGGGCTGCTGACCGTGTCTGTGCATATAAAGATGCCCGTGGGTAAACACAGGATTCCTTGTAGGCTTCCTGGCAGCTTGGGAGGAAAAAGTCCACCCTGTGAGCATTTTCTGCTTCTGGCGCCAAGCCTGGCTTACCTCGGTGTTTAAAATAAACGTGTTCCAAAATACGGATATCTGAAAAGTACTGAAGTCCGGTAGGAATTTGTGTTGCAATTTGACATCTTAGAACAGTTAAGACAACATAGTACTTGGGAAAAACAAGAGGCCTTTACAGTTTTGGAGAGGAGGGAGGAGTTTCCAAAACATGTAAGCGCTGGGATAAAGCTGAGCAGCTCCAACTGTTTTTCTGTTAGCTGTTCCAGCGGGATTCTCCGGTGCAACAGCTAGGTGGTTTTTATGTCAAAGTGCCCTGTAAGGATATTGTGGAAAAGATCCATTTCAGAGCTCGAGACTGTCTTAACTCCTCACTCCCTGTGGAGGCAGCCTCTGAAAGCTGTTGGGTAACCTGGATATGGTGACCAAACTGCACGCAGAGGAGGCTGTTCCTGCTATAAAATGGTTTAAACGTAGTTGTGTAATCCGGTGCTTTCTTCTTATCAGGGATCGATGTAGAGCAGGTCTCTGTTGTTATCAATTTTGACCTTCCTGTGGATAAGGATGGAAATCCAGATAATGAGACTTATCTGCACCGGATTGGACGTACAGGTCGCTTTGGCAAGCGAGGACTGGCTATTAACATGGTGGACAGCAAGCACAGCATGAATATTCTCAACAGAATCCAGGAACATTTCAGTACGTACCCTCAGACTTTGTCTAAAATTCGATGTTATTTCTGCAGAGTTTTGACTAGCTGGGTACTGAGCAGATCTCATGGATATTTGTCGAGCCTTAGACTGACCGCAGAAGAGCTCATCAGCTGCGTTTTGTGTAATGTCACTTGGGATTGTGAACTGCTGCATGTGATAGGAGCAGAAATACGCCGAGTTGTCTGTTTGCTGGCTACCCGGATAGTCCTTAAAGTGGATGTTCCAGATGGTACCAGTCGAGTACCCGGGTGGGCCTTTGATAAAACAAAAAAGTTTTATGTTGTAGTTATAAAACCTGACTGAACATTTCTTGGATAAGCCTGAACTCCTCAAGCCCAGCTAAAGAAAGCAGCTTTCCCTTCTCTGCTCTGTGTTACGAAATCTGACTTATTTCTCATCTTTCCCAGACAAAAAGATAAACAAGTTGGATACCGACGACTTGGACGAAATTGAGAAGATAACTAACTGAAGTACAGCTGCTGGAACTGGTGTGTACCCTGCTGTGGAAGCTCTCCCACTACAATTGGATCAGCGTTCAGATTGGCACGCCTCTCAGCTAGTCCCGAAAAGGACTCGTTAAGATATGAGTACACAAAAATTACCTCATTTTAAAAATTGCAGTTGGACTTCAAATTGTGCAACTATGGGGAGGAAGAGGAAATGTTTACAGAAGCTTTTAACATTTCTTAGTTTAGCCTTAAAACGGGAAGATCTTTCGAATTCTAAGAAATACACTTGCCAAAAAATGGGCAATATGTAATTATCTAAAACAAATTTAAAAAAAAAAAAAGCTTTATTGCCTTCAATTGGAATAAAGTTCAGCAGTAACCTGATCAGTTAAAATTCAACAGCCAAATATATAAATGGACATAAGTAAAGAAAAAAAAGAAAAAAAAAAAAACCACAAACCCCAAACAAGGCAGCTGGTTTTTGGCTAAAAACTCAACTTGTACAAAATAGGATGTCATTCTCTCTGGCGCTCCCCTGAGCTCTTTAAAACTCATTTCTGGCTTCCTGATGGATTTGCCCTGCTTTTCCTTACGTAAATTGTCCGAAGGATGTCTCCAGTAGCTCATACTCGCAAACACAGGTGCCGTGTTGCTTTTGCTGGGCAGTATTTTCATTTGTCCTCGACTTGTTAGAAGGCCACTCTCCGTAAAGCGGCGCAGTGGTGACAGTGCTGAAGTACGTACTCTAGAAGTTCATCTGAAGCGTTTAACCTCGCCGAGGTGGGGGGGGAGGGAGGGGCAGTATGAAGGGAACTGTACTAATTAATTTTCTGAATAAATTCGCCTCCCTAAAATGCTAATGACTGTTGGAGTGGGGGGTCGGTCACCTTTAGGCAGGCGGTGCCAGTTCTAAGATGCTGCTGTGAAGCTCCGCGTGAATAACGTGCAGAACTGCTGGGCTTCACCGATCAGTAATAGGAATAAAAGCAAAACAAATCATGATAGCTTGTCTTGACCAAAAAGAAAAAAAGAATAATAACCTTTAGAACACCAAATTTAGCTGTTACAATATGTTTCGGTACCAGAGTTTTGAGTTAAATTGCTCAGGCAAATTGCAGACGGGAAGCGCTCCACTTCCATTGTGCTCGTAGTGCAAAACAGGTCATCAGTCCCTCGCCCCAGGGTGATCCTTGCCGGAGAAGGAATGATTTGCAGCGTCCGTGCTCGGGCTTTTAGTTCGGTTGGGACCATTCTTGTGCGCGCAGCTGAAAGCCTGTGGGTTGTTCCCCCAGCCCGGTTTCCAGGAGAAGGAGGCTCCTGACCTAGAACTTAGGGTGCACAGCTCTTTTTGGGGAAAATGGGACATGCGTGAGCTGCCATGGGCCTGCTGCTCGGTGCAGGAATCACTTCAAAACAAATGTATAAATTGTAAATTTAACTAGGAATTTTCTTTGCAATTTTGGCCATCATATTCTGTTCAAAGACAGGAACATGGATCCTTTTACCAAGTAAAAAAAGGCTCATTTAAAATGTACCTAAAATTTTAGGAAATTGTGCACCCTTTTATCAATTTGTATAAAGGCTTTAGTGAAAAAAAAAAAAACAATGTTAAAATTAAACTTTTTGTATTCTGGGGTGTATCTATTTTTATTCTGTTGGAAACCTATTTAAAGTGGCAGGTGAGTGAGTGCTTGCGTGTCGAGTGGAAGACTTGTTTCAATCACCTACTTTAATAGTACAGCTGAATGACCTCGTGACAGCAGAGTATTGGGTTGAATTGTCACGAAAGCTGCTGCTGGTCCTGTGTGCTGTTTCTAATGTACTTTTAATTGGAATAAAGAACACCTACTGAACGATGCCTCCGCTAATTTCTTGCTTGAATACGTTGTCGTTTAAAAGCCTTAGGTAGGGACGTTCCCAGCCAGGACTCCTGATGAGTTTTCTATTTATGACCTTCTGAACACGTCCTGTGACAGACTGAACTTCACCTGATTTAAAGCTGAAATTCTTAAAAGCTGCCCCCAAGGAAGCTTGTTAAATGATACCACACCATAAATGAGGTCAGATAAATACCGTTCTTCCCTCGCCCCCACCCCCCCCCAGCGCTTCTTGGGCCAGACTTGGCAGAGTTGCTGCTAAGACCTCCCCTGCATCCCCAGAAGACTTTTGAAGGGAAGAGAAGGAGAACTAGGGGAGAAAAGAGGCATTTCCCTGGCACTGCGCTTGCCTAGATCAAGCCTTGACTGTGGTTTTTAGAAAAGGAAATAATTAAAATGCCCATCTTTGGAGGTGCTGTAGCACGGGTGAGTTAGTTAGAGGGCCAGACTCATTCAGCTTTATCTTGGGTGGAGATACTCGGGAGGAATTTCCTCCAGCCTGAGAAGTGCTGACCGCTGTGATCCAGGCTGCTCTTACTCTTCTCTTCTTGGTTAAGGCATGGGCCCCTGTACGCTCTCAAAGCTGCGTGGTGGTCACCGTGTCTCTGGTTGGTAGCAGCGGGCAGTCACAGATCCGAAGGGCTTCCTTCTTCGCTGCGCTCTTGTATTTAATACAGGACGAAGATACAAACTCCAGGAAGGTACGTGCAAGATGGCGTGGATGGCAGCTGACCATCCAAAGTCTGGTTTGGGCAGTCCCCGAGGCACTCGCCATCAAATTAATGGCATTTCACGTTTAAGAGGAGATGCAATGGCTAAGCCTCCAGTTCACATAAATCATTTGAAGTTCAAGTTTCAGCCTAAAAGGTTTTATTGATTGTATGAAAACACAGTATGAAAACACTCTGAAATGTAGAAGTAACGTAGCATACACAAGATCAGAAGGGAATGAACCGCTTAATGCTGAATGAAACACAGAAAATGGTTCCTGTTCCTGAACCCTTCAGTGAAATACTCTGCTCCCCACTGAGGTTTGATTAAAAGCACCCACCGTGTGCTTCGGTCTCCCTGAAGGCACCGGGAATGCTACTGTGCAATTACCATCGCCCGCAGTAGCAGGGAACACACCTCCATCAGGTACCGTCTCCGTAAAGCCGCTGGACCCGGAACGCTTGCTTTAGAACGAGTTGCTACGCTCTTGGTCAACACCGGCATCAGTTTTCCACGACTACTGCCGTTCCGTGTTGGTTTGGCAGTTACACTGAGGTTCAGAAAAAGTTGGGTTTACCTCAGGATAGTGAAACTAGCTCGTCCATATGGCAAGTGGTCCATTTTTTTAGCAGATTGAATTATCGCCTTTGAACCGTAAGAATTTCCATTAGAAACCTAGAAGATTTTTTTTTTAGCACAAGCACGTTGTATTTACCTAAAACCTGCCAAGTTACCCTACCGGCCTTTTTTAATGATGGTTTAGTAAAATAGGGTCTACTGCCTGAGCCCATTCCTCGGTCAAATCCAATCAATATATTTTTATTTACAAATTCTCAAAGCAGCACTTGCTTTCTTGGACTAACTCATTTCAGTGTAAAGGGGTTAAACGGAAGTATTTTGTAACATCCCATCTTAACTCTCCATCTATTCTTACCTATGGATCACACGAGTTGAATGAGGGAAGGAAAACTAAGTAGAAAATCCCGCTGCTCACCGATACAGCCAAAATAATAACTATTTGTTCTGAAAAAGGCGACGTAGTTGCACTCTTAAAAGCTGCACTGAGGTTACCCAGAAAGAGCTGAGCTCTCACAGGTACATTACCATCGGTCTTGCAATTTAATACTTCGCAATAATCCATTAACGTGTTATTACTGTTATTTCCAGTTGGTTTTCGGGTTTGATCTCCTTTTCAGTTGCTCTCGAGAAGATGTTCAGGACGATGATAACCTACTGAAGATGGTCCTCCAGAGTAAAACAGTTCCGTTTCTACCTTCCCAAATAGGCGCCTCTGCATCTGGATCCACTCTGGGAAGCGGTACCTTCCCGAAATACAGGAAAGGAGAAGGGGAGAGGTCTTGGAAACTTCAGTCTTCAAAGAAGAATATCAGCAATTTCAGAAAACCAAAAAGGCCAAAGGTTGGTGGCGCTCAGGAAGCAATTTGTGATGGCACACGTGAAAAAAAGATGCTCTTTATGTAGCAGGTATATACACCTGAAATACTATCTCAACACATATACACAAGTCTGCTTCAAGGGGAGTTTTTGGAAGATGGCAAGGTGAAGAAGTAGGCCCAGGAAATATCAGAATTCCAGTTTTTTAGAAGAAGAAATGCATCCCACTCAGCAGAACCACCCAGAGCGGCGTGGCGGCGCCTCTGCGCGCCTAAAGATCTGCGTCGTGCTCCTCTTTCTGTCGGATGCACAGCACGGACTTGTGGAGAATCCCACATTCGTGGAGGGACCTCGTAAGGTCAGAGAAACTCCTTCGGGGCACCTCCATCGTTTCAACGCTGCAGCGTTTGTACTTGGCCACCATTTTCTGTTCTGCCACGGCAAGGACCATCTGGAGACTGTCGGTGGGCTTGAAACGGTGTTCAAATCTCTGACCAGAGGGAGATCGAACGGCGAGCAGCAAGTGCGACTCTTCCTTCGGCGGCTCTTCCAAACTTAAAGTCAACGTCGAAGGGCTCTCTTGCCTCATTTTCCTCCCCAGCTTCTCAGGAGGACATTGCACGTGTGAGCTCTCTTCACCGGGGACATCGCTTTCTGACAATTCGCTGGCAGATCCTTGTTCTCCAGAAAGAGTTTTGGCTTTCGGAGCGTCCTCCTGCCCCTCACTCACTTTCAGCCGGTCAGTCTGTTCAGCCACCGCTTCCACAGCGCCGCTCCCTACGCCTTTCCAGCCGATGGAGGGGAGCACCCTGTACTTGTTCAGGGAAGAGGAGGTCCTCAAAGGCACTTGCTGCAGGAGCTCTGGGATTTCCTCGGGAGACACCTGGCCGGGTGGGAACGCCGGTTTCGTGAACAATGCTCTCCGGCTGTTCACTAATTCGTGAGGAGCTGCTGGTGGCGGGGAAGATGGCACCCGGCAAGGACAGGCTTCCACGCTCTGAGAGTAATTGAAGCTTGGCCTTGTGCGTCCCTTGGCAGACTTTGGCCTGGTGACGTGCATGTCGACGGCGTTTGTCCACGAGGAAGCGGCTGCTGTGCTTGAAGGGCAGTAGCGGTGAGACGGTGCTAAGTTCAGAAGAGCCGCTGTGGCCATTGCTTCTCAAGGCACCTGCGGATGGGGTAGCAGAGGGAAAAGTTACAGGAATTGGCCAGAAAGCTTCCAGAGAGCTTAACCTCCTACAGCTCCCACTTTTGTGCCGCACATCAGCTAATAATAGCAATAAATCTGGTGTATCGCCGTGTAGGCAGGCAGCAATCCTACGGTTCAGTTACGGCTGAGTCAGAGACGGTGGGATATGTGTATTTATAGGTGCTGGCTTTGTCAGGAATTGTTTAAAGTTGACCCAGAGCATCGGGAAGTTGTGCCCTTCCCAACTTGAAGGAAGTTTTTGATGGAAGGAACAGAAACATTTTTTTCTGAAGCTAGAAACGCAGTGAAAATGGGAGATGAGTGAACTTCAAAGCACAAATCTGGCCTTTTTGCTGTTCCTGCAGTGAAAGATTAAGTTCCTGTCGTGGACTTTCGGGTAAGACCAACTGCGCTTCACTTTTTAAAAATCTCTGAAGACCTTTGAGACTGAATATGTCTGATTCAATACAGAGAAACCCATTCTGACGTCTCCTGTGACCAAAAGCTGCTTAACAGAGGTTGATATTAACCTCTATTAAAAATGAAACCATGTACTGATGCGCGTTCCCCACCTCAAGCTGCGCTCAGACCCCTCATGCTTTACTAGGACAAAGCCCAAAAGCCCAGACAACCGGGCCACAACCTCACAGCAACATTTTGGAGAAGTGCGACAGGGTCACGCGCATCCTCTTCCCTTTCTGTGGTTTGCGCAGCAGGACTTATCAAAGGGGGAAAAAAACCCGTCAACTTTGATTGCTTGGCGTTCTCCAGTAACGATAAAGTCAGGCTCGCCCTGCTGCTCATCACCCCAAAACAAAGGAAGAGACGGGAACAGCCACTGTGGTTGTTCCACAACCTTTTGCCAGCGATGCGTTATTTAACGCTTGGTTTCTCCTCCACCACCGGAATGGAAACGCTCGGCAAACCAACGCCGAGCAAAGCCAAGGCAGAGTCCCAGCACACAGGCGCGCCCTGGCCAGCTCCAGTACGAAGCTGCTTGGAGACAGAGAGCTCTGTCCCTCTGTAAGCCTCGAGCAGAGCTACGGACAGGGACACGCCGCCCAAGTGACTCATCGGAGTTTCCTTGGAGCCCGTGGGAGGGAGGGGGGTGTGTGCCTTTCATTTACTGCCTCTAACAAATAAACTCCCAGGCAACAAGCTGTAGTTCAGCATCCTCTGAAGAGGAACTTCCGAGGGCACCAGAGCATTTACCAGACATCACCAGTTATACCGCCAGTTCGAAGAATAAAAACCCCAACACAACCTGCCAGAAGCCACGGCAGGACCCTCCTGAGCGAGGGGTCTGTACCGCTTCAGCATGGTATATATTAGAGGTTTACCGTGAGGAGCTGTTTTAAATACGGCACGTTTTACGGTCGGGTGCCTGGGTGAGGGATTGGGATGGGGAACTGCAGCCAGGGAGGGCGGTGCCCACAAGTGGCCCAAAACACCACGAACCCCCAAATCCCTGGCCCTACAGCACAGCCCCAGCCCCACGGCACAGCCCAGCTCCCCAGCAGAGCCCTCGGTGCC